AAAAAAAAAAAAACAATAAATACAGACTGAAAGTTGGCTGGAGATTAATATTGGTTGAATTTCTTCTATAATTTCTCTGGTAATGATTCTCTTCTCCCAGTAAAAACCGAGTTAAATGTTTTGTGTTATTAATCTACCTTTTGAGCATTCAGACAGAAAGATCCAGACCAGAACTCTGAAAGCCTTGCTCTCAGCTTTTAATGTATCTGTTTTGTTAACTTCATACCAACACAATAGATACTGATGTGGAGAATTCGGTCTGGAAAACACTACACAAGACTAGTAAATTATTCCTGTGTATAAAAATGCCTCTTACAATCAAGAGGTTAAGAACATCCTATTAAATCAAGTTACTGCAACTAGAAATTTGCCAAGATGCTTAAAATTAATCTGTGGGAGATAAAATGCAGTTACAAGCACACACTGAAGAGGTATGAGATGGCTAAATGCTAGTATTCCTGAGCAAAATCAAAACCCACCTCTTAGCAACGTAAAACCAAAGCAAAAGTACAAGCTCTAATCCATGTTCTTAACAGATTTCTTACAATGCAACAGATATATAATCACTCCCTGGAAAAGGCTTTTCTTCAAAACATAAATAAAACTGAACCCAGCTCATTTGCACAGTTTTGTATCTATAGTTCCTAGTAGCAAGGTTACCTGCTTTGGTTGCCTCTGAAATATGTGCATTTTTAACCAGGTTTCGACTTCTTCAATTTTCTTCTTTTGCACAGCAAGGTCATTCTAAAACAAGATTAAAATATATTAAATTAGTACATATATTGTACATACTTATTATATTAGACTGTATTTTGGTTTCTAACACTGTAGTGATGAGATTCAAGAACAGGACACATGATATATATATAGGAGTAAAATATTAACAGCCATGTAGGTGTATATTCCAGTTACATACGTTTATGATAGGCAGAAGTGCAATGCCAATTCAGTGTGTCTCCTCAAGAAAACAACCAATTTTCCATCACTTACAGTTGGGAAATGATGAATTACTTATTAAAGTACCAACATTACAATCTTGCCTGTTTGTGTCAGAATGCTGCAAAGCTGTTGCTGAAGCTGGTACTTTTTAGGCTCTGCTGACTCTAACATTACAGGTTTGGGGAACTCCTGATAAATCTCATGCAGCTTACTCTTCTCCTAGCCTTCTAACTCAATTCCTCCCCAGAGACTAGCTACTGAATGTTTAAATCCAAGACACAAGTGCTAACTTCACCAGCAGACAAGGCTCGGGGACGACTCGCACGCACGCCGGTGCCTTTGAAACAGACTGTGAGACTGCTGTTGCATGAGAAGAACCAGTGAGAACAGGTTAGCCACAGATCTGAGTCCTGCTCCTTGAAGCCCTAAGGTATCACATGGTCATGCCTAAGGCACATCCAGCAGGAAAGAGAAAGCACCAACTGCAGCTGGCCGAGCACTCCGAACATGCCACCAGACCAGGCAACTGCTGCCCAGTAACACGGGACACAGTGCACGTGTCACGGGAGAGACAGCAGAAACCACCTCAGATCTCCTCCTCAGCCATGGATCTGTCCAACACCTGTAGATCTGGCTGAAATCCAATAATGGCTCCAAGAGTTTAGGAGTGGCTGGACAGGAAACAACTTCCCGTTAGTAATTAGTGTGAGGGGAAAACGCATCTCCTCCAGATAAGCAGCTCATTAAAATCTTAACTACAGGCAGCAAATGAAGTAAGCTAGTGTTCCTAATACAGCAGGAGGTACTTAGAATACAGATGATGAGCAGGAGCCCCACGTGCTGCACTGCAGTGTTACATTACAGTGTCACCACAACGTTAGTGCTCAGAGTATCTCTCCTACCTGAGTTTCAGGTTTGTATCTATCTACCCACGGCTCGTCTTGAGCCTGGAGCCAGTTCTGTTTCTGCTTGCTGCAAGGCAGATCCACAGAAGACAGTTTTGCTCTTTTTCTGGGCAGAGCTTTGGTTTTGCTGCTTTCTGGCAGAGCACAGAGGTCTGTCTTCTGCTGCCGGCCTCTTCCAGAGCTGCCTTCTAGTGGCTTCACAGAAACAGCACTAGAAGAAATATTTGTGTTTCCAAAGAAGTCATCAAACGAACGAGCCAGCCAGCCTGTCACCTGGAAAACACAAACGTTTCACTATTAATGTAGCACCCTCCTCCCCTTGGCTGGGTGAAGTCATTGCTAGAAAACTGGAGATTTTTACCCAGGGTGTATCAGGACACAGCACAGACTGGAAGAGCTTCGTTAGCACTGGAATGCACCCTGCTGGTGCAGCAAGCACGGGCACCTACACTTTCTGACTGGGTTAGTTACAGGCTCTTTCAGTATTAAAAAAAGCTGCACCTCACACACCACGATGAGCATTTTGCAGCAAACCACCACAAGTGAACATTCCCCAAACATGCTTTCAAACTAAAGACATAAAATCACAAAAGAATGAAAAATTAGCTTATTTATGTCATTTTCACATGAGGGTTAAGTTCATGTTGTCCCCACGTACTTCCCAGCATGTGGCTTTAAAAAAAAAAAAAATTTACAATGCAGCCATTTTTGTTATGTTTGAAATAGACAACAAAGAAAATTATTTAGGATGCACAACAGAATCAAGCATTATTATTTTTGGCTGGGTGAGGTAGCTTGGACTGATCTAGAACCAGACTGTAATGTGTACTGTAGGTCTGCCTGACAGCAACAAGGAACAAAACTGCTAGCAGTGCCAATATTTAACTTTGGGCTTGAGAAATACCCTGCCAGGACAGGTGTACAAAGTTACACCCCAGAGCCACTTTTCAGCCTACCTATGGTCCCAAAACAACATCTCAGTGGTCACATGCTCTCCACTGCTAACAAATGAAAGGAGCAAGGTGGGGGTTGGTCTCTTCTCCCAAGTAACCAGCAGCAGGACAAGAGGAAATGTGCTTGAGATGTGCCAGGGGTGGTTGAAACTGGATGTTAGGAACCGTTTCTTTCCTGCAAGAGTGGTGAGGCATTGGAACAGGCTGCCCTGGGAGGTGGTGGAGTCACCATCCCTGGAGGGGTTCAAAAAACATGTAGATGTGGCACCTGGGAAGAAGGTTTAGTGGCCATGGCAGGGTTGGGTTAACGGTCAAGCCTGATCTTAGAGGTCTTTTCCAACCTTAACGATTCAATGACTATAACCACAGATCTGTACAGCACAGGAATCGTAACAGACCCATGTCAGAACATGCTTCTGTGAAAACGGGAGTGACAGAACAGACACGTCACCCCCAGAAAGGTCTGTGAGGACTCTACAGGTTACACGTGCCAGAAGTTAATACAAGACCGCCCCCAGACAAAAGATTATGTAAGAGTTTGACAAGGGCGCTAGCAACCGGGGCGGGGGATTTGTCTCAGCACGGTTTACTTTTAACGTTATTCTTACAAAAGCTATTTTTAGCTGAATTTGCATGTTTACCAGCAGAGCCGATGCCGCCGCGTGGGGTACTTTCCCTTTTACACACCGCAGCAGTAAGCAAGCAGAGAAACACCTCACACATAGACAAAAAAAAGAAAAAACCCGCAGCTGAAGCGGAACCGCCAACGCAGAGCCCAGG